TTGCTCACATGTCAGTAGATTTCTCTTAAACCTCAAACTCCATAAAAATAAAATATAACAAAACTGTCCTTATTCATCTCTGTATCACCTGTGCCTGATCCACTAGTTGACATATTACAAATGTACAATAAATTCATGTTGAATGAATTAGTAAATAGAAATATAAATTAATTGATTAAGTATTTATCAAGGACCAGCTCTATACCAAGTGTTTTTACAATGGGGCTTCAGAAGCTAAAAAGAAGTCTTTTGCTTTAATCCAACTTACATTCTAGTAGTAGAAAAGGCCAGGTACAGGCCATGACAAATACAGAAGGTGAAGGCATCAGTTTAGATGGGCTGTCTGAAAAAATCCTCACTGAAGAGGTGACATTTAAGTAGAGACCGGAATTGAATAAACGATTGAACTGTCTCAAGAGAGAACATTCCAATCTGAAAGAGGTCAGCCAGTTGAGAGGCTCCAGGAGGAATATGCTTAGAATACTCAAAGAACAGCAAAGGGAAGCCAGCCTGACTGGAGCTTAGTGAGCAAGAAGGAATGTGATAGGAGATAGGATTGGCAGATGTTACTAGGCCAGATCACATTTGGCCATGAGAAAGATTTTGTATTTTATACTAAGTGTGATGGGAGGCCAAATACAGAGTTTTCAGGGAGAGAGTAACATGACATGATTTGTCTTTGAAAGGATCTACATCTGCCTGTTATGTGTGAGATCGAAAGGGTCAAGAATTGAAACAGAGAAACAGTTAGGAGACTTTTTTAATGGTCCAAATGAGGGAAGATGGTGTCATGAAGCAGATGAATTAAATAATTGGTATTGGACTCTTCGGGAATAGGAACTGATGACATAAACTGTTAAAAGTATAAGCCTACACATCTAGCATTTAAGTAGATAAAAATTTAAATGTAAGTAAGGTACAGGTGTACCTTGAAATGCAGGCTAAGAAATAAAATAACTTGATTCTTAGTTCCAGACTTTATTATTAAGTAGATATGTAACCTTAGGGAAGTTTCTTACTTTGCATGGGCCTCCATTTAAAAGAAATTTTTTTTGGTTTTATTGGTTTGTTTGGTTTTTTTAAGTGTATTTATTCCATGAATGAGAAGAAGAATGATACAGTACCTCCCCTTAGCTTCAGCCAGCCTGGGTCATGGGCACACATGTTTCTGGCATAATCATGGAAGTCTTCAGGAATTGTATTCTTTCTTTTCAACTGAAAATTCCATGATTTTGTAATCTATGAAAACAGTGAATATATATTAAATATTTGCTATGTTTCGAATACTGAATAATAGTCTTCAATGGATTCAGAAGCATTCTATTACCCATAAGGTACTTATATTTATAAATGGGTTACAAAACCATTGTTTACAATATGAGAGCATAAATTTAAATGCAAAAGTATAAAAATATGGGTTGTAGCTTCCCCAAAAGTTGGGAAAAGAGGATAATTAATGGGCCAGCAGGTGGTGTAATGGTTAAGTTGTTAGCCTCCCACATGGTCGACTGCAGTATGAGTCCTGTAACCTGGTATTTTGAAACTCACTCTGGACACATGTGCGGCATGCCAAAATCCCAAGAGGAGAATGGAGGAGAAGGGATTGCAGCGTGAGCACCCCCTGATGATTTCTCACTTTCTCTGTCTCTCTGGCAAGTGTATTCGCCTTATAGAAAAAAATCTTTTAAAAAAAGAAAAAGGATAATTTGCATAAGGCTGAATTAGCTATGGAGGTAATAGAGGCTTGATCCTAGGACTAGGTAGGTTTTAATTTAAATGAATAGAGGGGAAAGACATTCTCAGTAGAGAAGATATGAGCAAAGAGGAAGTGTTAATGAGCCTACCATTATTGTGGGGTAGAGAGATTCAGTTAAGATCAGGCTGCCTATAATATGAACAATAGGGGAAATAGGATAGTCCAGGTAGACTGAAATAAGAATACAGAGTACATAAAAACCTAAGAAACCTTTAGCTTTGATTTAGCAAAAACAGGGAGTCATCATGTATTCTTCAGTGGAAGAATAGTGTTCCAGAAAGATATTGGATTGTCAGAAAGGTCACGATGTGTTTTTTTCTATGCAAAAATGGGTCATGACTTTTTCGACAACCCAATAGTTTAGTACCATGTACTTTGAGGAAGGTGTGAAACTACCTTAGTCCAGGTAGCAAGCAGGCATGTTGCATACTTTGTATCTTTAAAAATTGTAGTATCAGGGACTAGCCGATGGCATAGCCTTTACATCACTGGACTCTTCACATTCTCACATGGCTCACTGTGGTTTGAGTCCTGGACCTGGTGTCTTGAAAATCACGCAGGACATGTGTGCGTGCATACCCAAGATCCTGGGAGGAAAATGGAGGAGAAGGAATTGCAATGTAGCCATCTGTCCAGGGAATGATTTCTCACATCCTTTCTCACTGTGTCTCTTTCTCTCTCTTCTGTGAGTGTATACGCCATAAGGCAGAAACCTCTAAAAAAAAATTGTACTACCAATAGAGAAAACTAAATTTCAGAGAAGTTAAATAACTTGCCTGCCGGTCTTATGCCTAATAGGTGATTTGAGCTAAGATTTGAATTAATATCTGTCTGATTGTAGAAGACTAGATGGGAAAGTCTTCAGTCAGGAAGCATCACTTACAGTAACCGAAGTATTCAGTAGTGAGGAGTAATACATCCAACAATAATCAGAATGGTAAAGAAGAGATGGAACTGAGAGAGCACTTTCTTGTAGACGTTATTGACTGATTGAAAGAAAGGATGAAGGTAAGAAAGTGCTGAAGTTTTGCTTTTAGGTAGCTAGGGAAGATTATTGTGCTTTGTGGTGGTATTGGGAGTAGAGGCAGACAGGAGGAACTAGAGATGTGGGTGAATAAAATCTGATTTAGGAATATTGAATTTTAGACACCATTAAGTGATTAAATAGTAAGTAAAGTCAAGGGAGATTTTAGCATTTGAGAGTCCTAAAATGAGATCAAATAGTTGAAAACATGAGAATGAGTAGGTCTTCTGAAAGAAGGAAAGTCATGAAATAAAAGCAGAAGACTTTGTAATGTAATAACCAGGTTTATGTAGACTTAGGAAGAGAGGTATCAAATAGTGTTCAATTACTATTATATCAAATCCCGTAAGTTGCTGAGACGAAACATTGATGTTTATGTTTTCTGCATTTGTATTTTGACCTTTGCCAGAATGAGATTTTGCTTTCATGCTTCTAAGATGGAATAGAATAATAAATGAATTGTGGTACATGATCAGATTTTTTAAAATATCATATTCTTTGGTCTCTCAAACAGGATTTGTTAGTTTATTTTTATGACTCAATTCTAGTCTAACTTTTGGTGAATATTCTAAGTGTATTTTTCGTTCATTATTTCATCCCTGACTTCATTCATCTGTAAAACATTGAAAAGCTAATGTCTAGGATAAGACAACAAAAGTAGAGACAAGAGGGGGCCAGCAGGTGGCATAATGGTTAGGGGCACTCAACTCCCTTGTGGCTGACCACAGTTCGAGTCCCAGACCTAGAGGCTTGCTTTCTCACTTTCCCTCTCTCTCTCTCTCTCTCTCACTCTGTCCCTCTCTGGTCAAATTGAAATAAATAAAGTTAAATAAAATAATTCTTTTTTAAAAAGTAGAGGCAAGAGAAGAAAAAATAGATAAATCCAAATTTATCAAAATTGAAAACTTTTATGCTTTAAGGATACTATCAACAGAGATATGGCCCACAGAACAGGAGGAAATACTTGTAAATCATATATCTGATAAAGGATTAATATCCAGAATATATCAATATTATATGTATAACATGTAGCATTTCTACAAAAAAAAAAAATCCTTTTTAAATATAGGCAAAGGACTTGAACAGACAAATCTCCAAAGAAAATATACAGATGGTAGTAAACATGAAAGATGGCTTAACTTTACTACTCATTAGGGAAATATAAGCCAAGCCACAGTGAGATACCACTATATTGATTTTTAAAGAATTATTTAATTTTAATTATCATTATTATTTTTAAATTCTTTACAGAACATGTTTGCTCACCAGAGAGACAGACAGAGACAGAATGGGAAAGCAAGCCACCAGGTCTGGGACTCAAACTGTGGTCAGCTGTGTGGGAGTCCAGCACTTTAACCACCATGCCACCTGCTGGCCCCACGATACCACTTTATATCCATTAAGATAGCTATTATTCTAGAAAAATGGAAAATAGCAAGTGTTCTCAAGGATGTGGAGAAATTGGAACCATGTGCAATACTGGTGGGAATGTGAATGATATAGCTACTGCGGTAAACAGTTTGAGAGTTCTTCAGAAAATTAAACCTAGAGTTATATGATTCATGAATCATTCTTCTAGTTATATACCCAAAGAACTGAAAGCAGAGACTCAGAAAGTTCTTGTATACCAGCGTTCCCAGCAGCATTCTTTATATAATATATATACACTATTCATGTTATATATATATATGTTGTGTATTGTGTATATCGTATATGTTATGTAGTATATAATGTATATATACATATTATATTTTATATATGTATATTATATATAACATATTGATATATAATTGTGGATATATATATATAAAACACAATTTAAAAGAAAAAGCTAATGACTGTTTCATAGATGATAAACATTATTATGCCTATTGTAGAAGATGCCAATATGTTATGTCTTAAATGTGCTCTCTTGTATGTTAAATCATTTTGTCATTGTGTCCTCTGTTACACATTTGTTGATAATTTACCTCTTTTAATCCTTATTTTAAAAGCAACTAGCAGCCTACTATTTCATCAAATAAGCTTTAAAAACTCAAGCTTTAGGTTAGTTTGGATAATTTTGGTTCTTATGATAACATTTTTATGTTTGTCCTTATGTTGAAATTATTAGTAACAGCAGTATTTTTATCATTATTTATGTATAATATATTCACACCATTGTTAAGAAACCCAGCCGTGTTAGAAGAGTCTTTCTTCATTGCAGTGTTTTGCTTGCAGGATGAAGATGAACTGGATTCCCACACCATGGTGAAGACTAGCTCGGAAAGTGTGGGCACTATGCGAGCCACCAGCACCATGAGCGAGGGGGCTCAGACCATGATTGAACACAACAGCACAATGTTAGAATCTGACTTGGGGACCATGGTTATAAACAGTGAGGATGAGGAAGAAGAAGATGGAACTATGAAAAGTATGTGCCTCTTTCTCATTGAATGTTAGTTTTCTATTTTGAAACTGTACTCACATAGAAACTAGGATAGTTCTTTGTTACTTTTTATAGCTAATTATGGAAAAATTTTGTTTTTTGGCTTTATGTAACAGTAAAAAGGAGTATGGAACAAGTAGTTTTAAAAATGGTATTAAGGCAGAGAGCAGCATATCTTTAACTTAGGGATATGGGAGGGATTTTTTCTTTTTCTCAGAGCGGGTGTGTACTCACCAAGACAGAGAAAGGGAACGTGAAAAAAGCACCTCCCAACCTCATGGGGAGTGATCATGCTGCTGTCCCTCTCCTCCATTTCTTCTCCGTTCAGGACATTGGCTATGCATGCACATGCATCCTGCCTGTTTCTTAAGCTGTCGGGTCTGGTACTCTAACCACATGGTCAGCCATGTAGGATCCAGCCCACATTAACCACCAGCCCTACCTTACTACAGGGTTACAGAACTTTTTTGTTGAAGGCTGCTAACCCATAACTTAAATTGTAATTCAGAGATAAAAAGGTAGTTAACATTTCCAATTAAAAAAGTGAACTTAAAATTCTATTCTAGTCATTACAATATAATATTATTTCATAGTGTCCAAATTATCAGTTAAGCCACAAAGGCAGGAGTACAAGCTATGGGAAAAAATATGGGCTACATTGGGAAAATAAACAGTACAAAGAAAAATTAAGAGAGCGGAATGTTCATATGGAGGAGTCAATTCTGTGTATATTTACTGCTTATCATGTGAGAGGAACAGTGCCAGGGTGCAGAGGCTAAGTGCAGGGGCTAAAATGATTATGACATTTTCTCTGACCTCTGTTGCTCATAGAATGATAAAGACAATAATAATTTCACAGATTAGCATTTCTTCTTTTCTAAGTTTATTTATTTATTTCTTACATGAGTGAGAGAGAGACAGACAGACATCCCCAGCTGAGCCTACTCATTGCAGTCAACCTCCAGCCTCAACCAGCATGAATCATGGGCACACACCCCTAACATATATATAGGGAGGCCTCCGAATAGCATGTTTCCATGCACTACTGGTGGGCCTTCTGTTTTCTGGTTTGTTTGTTTTTCTGTAAATAGTTTTTGAGTTTTTTTTTTGTTTTGTTTGTTTTTTGAGAGTTTTTTGCTATATGGCACGTGCACTTGCCAGAAAGACAGAGAGAGATAGAGAGACAGAAAGCAAGAAATCACCCCCCAAGGGGGATGGCCACGCCACAGTCCACAGTCCATTCTCCTCCGTTCTCCTCTTGGGATCTTGGGCACGCATGCACACTCGCCCTGCGTGAGTTTAAGCCACTGGGTCCGGGACTCAAATTGTGGTCGGCTACATGGGAGTCCAGTGACATAGTCATTATGCTAACTGCTGGTCCCTGTAAATGGTTTTTGAAAACACTATAGTTAACGAAGTAGGATATTGTAATTTCACAGTGATAGGAAAAACAAATTAGTTATGGCATCATAGCTTTTCCTTTTTCCCTACTGCCCTGGTCCGATGTGTTCATGTTTCAGTACTAATCTCGTTTCCACTATACAGTGTTGCTTCTAAATGGCAAACAAGCAGGATTACATGACTTCTGCTCTTGTAGAGAGAGCATAGAAAGTTGTAAATACTAAGTGATTTTGCTGGTATTGCAAAATGGATAATAGATTTTCCTCTCTGACGCTTCTCTTTTATTTTTGCCCACCCTTTCTTTTTGCTGCTTTCCCTGTGAAGTATTAACTCTGTTTCTAGGTAGTAAATTTCAAGTCACTCTGTTCGTTTTTGCTACTTTATCCACATTTCCTATTACATAGCATGGTTCTATAGTTTGGAAGTGGAGGGTCATGAAGCACAGAATACTAACAGGTTGCTGTATGGTTAGTTGAAGGGGTAGGGAGGATATGAATTCTTTATCTCCCATCACTTTTGAGTCTCCTGAGCCTTTGCCCTGGAAAACAGCTAAATCTTGAATTTCCTAGAATTCACACCTGGACTTCTGACTAGAATATGCTTTCTTTATTCCTAATGTGTCTTATTCAACTGTACAGAATGGCGTTTTGATTTCCAAAGCCCGCTAGAGTTGAGGTACAGGCCACTTGCACTGGAGATCAAACAGACACTGTGGTAAAACAGTTCATACATTTCTGATCTACATGTAGCATAATTTTCCACAATTTGATAAAATTCTTTTACTCAGACCTTATGATTCTTAGCAGGTCAGTTAGATCATTGAGTGCTGCTGTGTCTGGTGATCTACTGAGCTCTCTGTAGAACTATATAAATGACATTTCCAGTAAACATGCATACAGTGTATATGCAGTGCCTAAAAAAAGGGGAAGTCTTTGGGGAACCCATGTTATACTGTAGAGATAAGGAAGTAGAGATAGTGATGGTGACTTATCAGACTTCATACTGTAAAATGGTACCACACATTTCCACATATTTGTGTAGTGACTTTTTAGCTCTGGTAACCACAAATGTCAACATATGTTAGAGTTTCATTGTAATGAATTATGAAGGTATGCCTTTTTGTCACAGAGGTTGTTTTTTGAAAACCCATTTTTAGGTTGAACAGATAATGGCTTGTGTATCTATAGTTTTAAAATATGCCTCAGCACATTTTATACCCCATGAACCAGTATTTTAAGTTTCTGCAAATTAAACATCTTCTATTATGTGGGATTCAGTGTTCACAAAAATCTAATCAAGTGATGTTACTATAACCCCCAGGGATTATCTGCTGTGATGTAGCAATGGTAAAGAATATGAAAGTTATTAAGGGACTACCTACTTTTCTTGAAACCGTAATTACTTTAGTTTTGTTTTTCTTGTGGTCTAAATCTTTTTACAGACTTCCTAGACTCATTGGTATGAGATCTTAGCTTATGTCACATCCGTCAAAGCTGCATTTGCTAATGTGTCTTTAGGATTTTTGTTCCCTAAAAAAAATTATAGCAACATATTTTTGGTTTTCTGAATTCTCTAGAACATTACATAGTATGTTGAAGATTCTGATTTCCATCTCCTTTTCCTTTGGAGTTTCAAGTGAGCTGCCCAATTTAACATTCTTGTCCATTTAAATTACATTTATACTTTTTCTTTCATACCTTTATCTATGAAACTAGAAATTAGAGACCCATCCTTACTTCTGAAAAATGTAGTGATAAGACTCCAAGAAGCAAAATTATTCAAAGACTATTTGAAGGGAGGTAGAGAAAAGCAACACAAAATATTTTAAAATTTGATCTGTTTAAAAGAGTCAGCATAGATTCTGTGGGCATGCCCCAAGAAGAACTTTCCAACCAGTTTTCAACATTACTTTTATTTTCTCACTCTTTGGTTCATGTATCTTGAGGACCGCATATTACTCATAGAATGTTCAGGCTTCAGTTTGGTAGCCAGAGTCTTTCACAGTTTGGCACCAGCTGATACTTATACATAGGTCTCTACTTCCCTTTGTTATACAGTAGCCATACTAGTCTATACCAGTTGGAATTCTGATTGGTTGACACTGGGAATAAACAGGTTGTTTTTCATTTTAAAAAATCAACTTTTAGGACTTTTCATTCTGAAGGAATCAATTGAGATCAGGTCAAGAAACACTGTCTTCAAGTTGATGGGATAGTAGCATTGAGGGTGACTGGGAGAGCAGTTGCTTCAGCAAAGAGATCAGGGCCTTTTACCATGTTTAGCTCAGATCTACTCTGTTCCATTTCTAGGTAGTTCTGGTCTTACCAAGCTGGTTGACTGGTTGCTCTGAAGGGAAACTTGTTGATATCTGAAGAAGAGCCATATTTTCCAACCAGGCTGTTAGTGTGTGTGTGTGTGTGCATGCATGTGGTTTCTTCTAATAGATTGTGAAGTTTGTCTTGGTAAAAATGCTGTGTAAATCTCTTATGCTACATAATGCTTTTTTTTAAAAAAAAAAAAAAGAATTATTTTATTTAACTTTATTTATTTTATTTTAATTTGACCAGATAGGGACAGAGCGAGCCAGAGAAATGGCAAGTGAGAAAGCAAACTGCCAGGTCCAGAACTCAAACCTCAGTCAGCCATGTGGAAGTCCAGTATCCTTAACCACCACGCCACCTGCCAGCCCCAGTGCTACATAATTCTTGGGTTATTGTCTTCATGAATACATACTAATTACAGTATAGTCAGAGTCAAAAACTTTTAAGTATTCATTTTTTAGTAGGATTAAAGATTCATAACTCTGAGAGCTAAGAGAACTCTCAGGTAAGCCTGCCTTAGTAAGCTATTACCTGGTAGCATACTGCTTTCTTCTCAAGCATTCTACTATCCCCACCTTTCATTTCATAGAGCAGACCTTCTGAAAATGGCTTCCTTAAGATAACTATTCAGTGACATTTTCTGGCAGATGTATTTGATGTATTTTTCTATATTTTTAATCGCAAAATGCATCATGACTTTTCTGACCACCCAGTAAGTAAGTTCATATGTAATATAAAATAATCGGAAATATTGGGGAATCATCTTGAAGAAAAATGAGTAGAGAACTATAAGCTAATAATCAAAAAGCGTATTGAGTGCTCTGCAAGTAGTACAGGAAAAAATTCTGTTTAACAGTGTTTTTATCCAGGCTTTTCTTAATTTGACCATGAAAAGTTTTAATGAGAAACATATCAACAATGAACATCTTAATATGGTTAGACTGAGAAGCACATTTTGGGAAATGCTGTCATATGAGTTCTCCAGTCCTTGACCCGTCTGCTTTCTTTTTGCTAGCTCAATAACCCTCCACCTCTCTTTTCTGTTTAGAGGCTGTGATTCATTGCTTCAGCCACTCTCTTACTCTAACTCCTTTCTCTAATGTCTTTCTTTTCTTCCACTTTCTGGAAAACTGTGACTATGGATCAGTCTAATGGTCCATCTCCTCTGCATGTTCACCCTGGCTGCTGAGTGCTGCTGGAGAAAAATCTCACATCTGTACAGATGAGAGCCACCAGTTCAAGACCTTCAGTCCCATTGGGGAC